ATCCGAAGCCACCAAGACTCCGAATCCACAGCCGCCAGCACCGAAGCAGGTAAACCCCAAACCCTAAACCCTAAACCCTAAACCCTAGCGGGAGAGGGCCGCGAAGCAGGGAAACCGCAAACCCTAAACCCTAAACCCTAAACCCTAGCGGGAGACGGCGCCGAAGCAGGGAAACCGCAAACCCTAAACCCTAAACCCTAGCGGGAGACGGCGGCGAAGCAGGGAATCCGCAAACCCTAAACCCTAAACCCTAAACCCTAGCGGGAGACGGCGGCGGGGGTTTGTGTTTATGGGTTTTGCTGCAGAAGGGGGGGAAACGGATTCTGAGTGGAGATGAATGAAGTTGAATTTATTTCTGAAGTTTAAATTAAATTAAATGAATTAAATTAAATTGTTGAATTAAATTAATTAATAAATGAATTTATTTTATTTGCTGGATTTAAAATAAAGTCGCAAATTTGCTCTTGAGATGTGCGAGAGAAGGAAGAGCCTTTGATTCGCTTTTTCATCCACGCGGCAAACCCTAAACCCTAAACCCTAAACCCTAAAGTGGGGTTTCAGTTTAGACCCCGCGGGCTGACACTGACTACGTTTGAAACAAAAGATCTCCAAGCCTTTTTCGGCAGCAAACCCTCGAGCCACAGCTAGCCACAGCTAGCCACAGCTAGCCACAGCTAGCCACAGCTAGCCACGGCTAGCTGCAGCTAGCCACAGCTAGCTACGGCTAGCCACAGCTAGCCGCAGCTAGCTACAGCTAGCTACAGCTAGTCACAGCTGGCCACAGCTAGCTACGGCTAGCTGCAGCTACCCACATTTGTTCGTAGCTAGCTACAGCGCATGCAGCTAACTCTACAGGTAGCCGCAGCTAGCTACAGCTAGCCACATTTGGCCACGGCTAGCCACAGCTAGCCACAGCTAGCCACAGCTAGCTGCAGCTAGCTACAGTTAGTCACAACGGACGCCAGCTAGCCAGAGGTAGCTGCGGCTATCCGCAGCTGGCGAAAGATAACTTGAGCTAGCTACAGCTGGCCACAGCTAGCTACGGCTAGCTACGGCTAGCTACAGCTAGCTCCAGCTAGCTACGGCTAGCTACAGCTAGCTACAGCTAGCTACGGCTAGCTACGACTTCGAACGGTGAGTCGCTGCAGCTAGCTGCGGCTGTCGCCGAAGACAGCCACAAAGAGCTAGCCAGTTGTGGCTAGCTCTTTAGGACTGGCTGCAGGTAGCTGCAGCTAGCTGCAGCTAGCTGCAGCTAGCTGCAGCTGATTGCAGCTAGCTGAGGCTGGTTATGGCTAGCTGGAGCTAGCTACGGGGGTGTGCGGCTAGCTGGAGCTAGCTACTCCTAGCACGGACTGCCCGTGGCTAGCTGTGGCTTGCCACAGCTAGCTGTGGCTAGCTGCAGCTAGCTACAGCTAGCTGTAGCTGGCGCTCCAGCTAGCCACAGCTGACTGTGGCTGCCTCTTTGGCGCCTCACAGGCAGCTCCTGCTGCAGCACATCCAGCTAGCTGTATCTAGCTAGCTGCAGCTAGCCACAGCTAGCCACAGCTAGCTACGGCTAGCT